AAACCGCTCACGGTTTAAAGGGCTGGTGGGATTTCGGGAAGTAAATGCTCAGACGTGGAGTGCTCACGACAGCAGATTGCTTTGGGACAGGGAAATGTTGAGGTGCTTCCACTCTCAGACGGCACTGCGTACTCGGGCCGATATGTATGCTTCGAAGCTTTCTGCGATGTTGAAATTTTGGACACTGGATCGAGCGTGGATGGGCAGCCTTTGGGAAGTCTCACTCTGACTTGCGTGGGAAACATTATGTTTTGCGTTCCAGGCTGAAGTTCGTTGATCAGGCTGTTACTGCTACGATTATGTGTGGAAACGGCTCCTGGATCATGACCGTTGAAAGGGAAAGCCGCCTATTGACTGAGAGACGGCGAATTCTTCGAAATATCGTGCAGACCCCAAGGCGTCGGGTAAAGAGGTCCACTGACAAGGCGGAAAACGCTTGTAACCATGTTGAGTTGCGATGTTGGACAGTTTTGCAACGAGAACGCAAGGACGCGCTCAAGTGTAGAATCCAGAACGCAGTGGATGGACGTTGGGCGAAACTGCTTTTGGAGAAGGAGCCCGTGGGATCCAGAGCCCGGGGGAGACCGTGCAAAAGGTGGACGGATTGATACCATATCACGTCATCATGTACAATTCAGCACTGCGGGTGCCAATTCGCCGATCGGCGCGCGTGGGCAGCAGGCTGAAGGCCGCGAGCCGGCAACCTTCCATGGGCGCGGGAGTGGGCTCCCGCATGCCGCTCTCTCTCTCTCTCTCTCTCTCTCTCTTTCTCTTTCTCTTTCCCTCTCTCTGGGATTTCGGCAGGGCTTCAAGCGACCCTTTGGAGCGACCCTGAAGTTTCGCCTCCGCCTCCCTTGCGAGCACGTCTGCGATCATGTTCTTGCATGCGAACCACGCTGGTGCAGCCCGTGGCCGTCGGGCAGGGGAATGTTCGATAGGCTGCCGCGTTGGGAGGGAACCCTTCCGACGGCACCGATATTACGTGAGACAGGATTTCTTTCCCAAAAATTGTGTTGCTGTATGCAACGTGCACGGCGCGAAAGGCATAGTGTAACACAGCATGTCGTTGCACTGTGAGTGGTGAGTGTATTCTGAAGCACCTGCACTGTCTGTAGTCTGAGGCAGCAGCGACGAACTATCGGTCACGCGGCTGGGGCAGATGCAGCGCGGAAGAGGTCATATACATTCGCATGGTGCCAATCTGACGCACGTACTCCGTGACATCCATTCATTTTGTTACCTCGCGCACTCGGCACGAGACAGTGCTTCTTCCTACGCACTGGGTATTTTTCCGCTTTCCGCTATTGAGTTGCAGCTGTAAGGTCTAATTTTTCATGGGCCGATGCACGAGGTTGGTTTTGGCCCCTGCGGGCGTTCGAAACGCGACCCCCTGGGAAGGGGGCCCGCTCTGCATGAACCCTGCCTCGCTGCGAAAGAGGACGCTCGACGCGCGCAGAGTGCGCATTGTTGGCGTTAGGCGATAATTGCGTTTCCGGCGGCCTTCGGGGACCAATGCTACCGCTACTTAGTATAATTCTTCACGCTTCGCGCATCCCCACCAGCCCATTCAGAGACCCTGCCAATGAGAGCTGACGGGCAAAGGGAACACCACTGCTTGCCCCATCGCATAGCGAAGGTTGCATTCAATGTTTTGCCCGCCTGCCCGCCCGACTAAACGCCGCAGCTAATCCCATCGCAGAGTGAAGGTGGCATTTAATGCCCAGCCCGCTCGCCCGACTGAACGCCGCAATTTGCCCCGTCACAGAGCGAGGGCTGCATGCAATGTCCCGCTGCCCCGCCCGACTGAGCACCGCAGCTTGTCCCATCGCAACGTGCGGGCTGCATATAGTGCCCCGCCGGCCCGCCCGACGAATCACAGCTTGCCCCATTACAGTGCGAGGGTTGCATGTGATTTTCCGCCCGCCCGCCCGAGTGAACGCAGCTCGTCGCGTCGCGCAGGAATTAGTGCCCTGCCCGCCCGCCTGGGTCAACACAGCTTATCACGCCGCGCAGTGAGGGTTGCATGCAATGCCCCGCCCGCCCGCCCGACTGAACACCGCAGCTTGTCCCATCGCAGAGTGCGGGATGCATGTGATGCCCCGCTGGCCCGCCCGATTAATCGCAGCTTGCCCCATCGCGGAGTGAGGGTTGCATTTGCTGCCCCGCCCGCCCGCCCGACTGAGCACCGCAGCCCGCCCCATCGCAGAGCGCAGGCTGCATGTAATGCCCCGCCGGCCCGCCCGACTAACCACAGCTTGCCCCATCGCGGTGCGAGGGTTGCATTTAATTTTCCGCCCGCCCGCCCGAGTGAACGCGGCTCGTCACGTCGCGCGGGAATTAATGCCCTGCCCGCCCGCCCGGCTGAACGCAGCTTACCAAATCGCGCAGCGAGGGTTGCATTTAATGCCCCGCCCGCCCGCCCGACTGAACGCCGCAGCTTGCCCCATCACAAAGCGAGGGTTGCATTTGATGTCCTGCCCGCCCGCCCGACTGAACGCCGCAGCTTGCCCCGTCGCGGAACGAGGGCTGCATTTGATGCCCCGCCCGCTCGCCCGACTGAACGCCGCAGTTCGCCCCGCCACGCAGCGAGGGTTGCATGTGATGTCCCGCTGGCCCGCCCGACTGAACACCGCAGCTTGCCCCCATCGCAGAGCGCGCGTTGCACGCGAGGCCTCGCCCGCCCGGCCGACTGAACGCAGCTTGTCGCATCGCCCAGCAAGGCCTGCATTTCACGTGCCGCCCGCCCGCCCGACTGAACGCACCTCGCCCCGTCAAACAGTGGGGGTTGCATTTAATGCCCCGCCCGCCCGCCCGCCTAATCACAGCTTGTCCAGTCGCTGATTGAGGGTTGCATTGCACGCCCCGCCCGACTGAACGCAGGTCGTCACATCACACAGCGAGGGTTGCATGTCATGCCCCGCCCGCCCGCCCGACCGACCGCAGCTTGTCCAATCGCGCAACGGGGGCTGCACTTAATGTCCCGCTCGCCCGCCCGACTGAACGCAGCCTGCCCCGTCGCAGAGCGAGGGTTGCATATAATGCCCGGCCCGCCCGCCCGAGTGAACACAGCTTGTCACGTCGCACAGTGGCCGTTGCATTTGATGCCCCGCCCGCCTGGCCGACTCAACACAGCTTGTCGCATCGCGCTGTGGAGGTTGCATTTCATGCACTGCCCGCCCGCCCGACTGAACACAGCGTGCCCCGTCAGGCAGTTCGGGTTGCATCTAATGTCTCGCCCGCCCGCCCGACTGAACACAGCATGTCACGTCGCGCAGTGATTGTTGCATCAAACAATGTCGTGCACGCCCGATTGAGCACTCGCCGTCGTCGTCGTCGTCGTCGTCGCCGTCGCCGTTTCGTTCAAGCGCATCGGGCGGCTCGGGCACCTCGAGCGCCTCGGGCGCCTCCGGCGCCTCGGGAGACTCGGGCGCTTCGAGCGCTTCGGGCGCTTCGGGCGCCTCGGGCGCCTCGGGCGCCCCAGGAACGTCGGGCGCCTTGGGCGCTTCGGGCGCCTCGAGCGCCTTGGGCGCCTCGGGCGCCTCGGGCGCCTAGGGCGCCTCGGGTGCTTTGGGCGCCTCGGGCGCCTCGTGCGTCTCGGGCGCCTTGGGGCCTCGGACGCCTCGGGCGCCTCGGACGCCTCGGGCGCCTCGGGCGCCTCGGGCGCCTCGGGCGCCTCGGGCGCCATGGGCGCCTCGCGCGCCTGGCGCATCTCGTGCGCCTTGGGCGCCTCGGGCGCCTCTGGGCCTCGAGGCCCGAGTCGCGAGGTCGGCGCACTTCCTCGAGCAGGGAGGAGAAGGAGAAGGAGGAGGAGGAGAAAATAAAAGGAGGAAAAGGGGGAGAAGGAGGAGGAGGAGAAGGAGCTGGAGGCGGAGGAGGAGGCGGAGGAGGAGGAGGAGGAAGAGGAGGAGGAGGAGGGGGTGGCTGGCGCCCGCGCCCCGCCGCTCCTCTCGGTCGATGGGTGGGGGTGGAGGCACGGGGACATTTCGTGCTCCGCCTGCCCTTCCCTCCCCTGCCCCCCATGCGCGGTGTGTGTGTGTATGTGTGTGTGTGTGTGTGTTTGTGTGTGTGTGTTTGTGTGTGTGTTGTGTGTGCATGTTTGTGTGTGTGCGCGTGTGCGTGTGCGTGTGCGCGTCGTTTGGAGCCGCTCTCGCGCGCTTGCTGCTTTACTGCTTTCTCTGCCCTGTCGCCGCGCGCAGGACCGCAACGCCAAAAAGAAAATGTGCTTGTGTGCAGTGTGTGGTGTGTGTGTGTGTGGATGTGTGTATGTGTGTGCGTGCAGGTGTGTGTGTGTGTGTGTTTGTGTGTGCGTGCGTGCGTGCGTGCGTGCGTGCGTGCGTGCGTGGGTGCGTCTGTGTGTGTGTGTGCGTGCGTGCGTGCGTGCGTGCGTGCGTGCGTGCGTGCGTGCGTGTGTGTGTGTGTGTGTGTGTGTGCGTGTGTGTGTGCGTGTGTTTGCGTGTGCCTCTGTGTGTTTTAGGAGTTAACGTTGCCCTCAACTTCTGGCTGCCCTGGACGTCTGCCAGCAGCGGCCGCACGCACGCTGCAGAGTGAACGTTCTTGCAGGCAGTGTGGTTCCAGCGTGCGGAGCGGGGCTGGAGACGACCAGCCACCAGGTAAACGTGTTGCCGAAAGGGCGCAGTTCCATCCACAGCCCGTTCCGCCTCCCGGGTCTTCCTCTTCCTGTTTCTCCTCCTCCTCCTCTTCTCCTCCGCCTCCTCCTCCTCTTCCTCCTCCTCCTCCTCCGCCTCCTCCTCCTCCTCTTCCTCCTCTTCCTCCTCCTCCTCCTCCTCCTCCTGATCGTCCTTCTCCTCCTCCTTCTCCTCTCTACTCCTCTCTCGCTCTCTTCTCTGCACCTCCATTGTCCTGTTCCTTTTCGTCATCCCGTCTCATCATCCCTTCTCTGCCCTTCTCCCTCCTGGGGGATGGTAGAGATGAGGCGTGCAGGCGGGCAGCATGTGGGCGGGGATGGAGGAGGAAGTGCAGCTCTCTGGCGACAAGCGCAG